GCGAGAACAGCGAGTGGAGGACAGGGAAATAAGATGGAGTACCTCAAAGTTTGGTGCAAAAACACATGATCGCACCGGCTCGCCTGGTGCGTTTCAGCCTGGGTTTTATTTTCATGACTGTCACATACAAGTTGTGCAAAACATGAGCATCCTAGTTGCTTTGGTTGCGGAGTTATCACAAACTTTACGTGTTTGCATGCGACACAGCGAGAGCTCATTCTTTGTAATGTTCATTTCCCTTCATGCAAAATTCGCCGTAATTAGTGCTTAGACTGAATGGAAGCAGCAACTATTGTTAAAGCCTAACTACTTCAAGTGTAGCGCAGAAACGTACGCTTGCACCGGCAAGCCTAGTGCATCGCAAGCTTGTTTTTAATTTTAATTCACGTAGTCTTTGATAAAAAAGCCATTCATACTGATTGGCAGTCACTTTGGTTGTGCCCCAGTACCATCGGTTTTAAACATGCCGGCTTGCGGATTATTGTTTTATTACCTGCTCCGCTTCCAGCCAACGTTAATCCTAATTTACGGGCAACAACTGTTTCTGTTCCAGACGCAAAAAGCCGTGCTAGTTGTTCTTTTCCTCCTATGCAGCAGAGGTTCTCCCGACAAAAGCGCGTCTGCTGTAATTGGTTCGGTGCTAATGATCCCTGCTTTCGTCGTGCAAAAAAAGATGATGTGTAAAAAAACAGCTGCTAAGCGATATATTCAATCAGTAGTACTTTTGATAAATTCCCTATTTTATTTTTGTTTATTCCGTAAATGTTACCTTCATCATCGAAACCATGCGTTAGCTCATGACCGGCCGTGGAACCTTGACCAGCATAATTGTATGCTTTTGGATAGCCATACCTGTGAAAAACGTTTTTCAGAATATTGCAACATAATTTCAGCAGTCATAATTCATAGCTCTCTAAACAATTTTCCTAAATTTTAATGGGGATTTGTGCGATTCAACGAATCGAAACATTTTTCTGCAGTTTTCTTTTACCTTTTTAGTAAATTATATGTGGTTATGAATTTCTTATACGATTAACTCTTTCCTCTATTCTTCTTGCTTTCAACTTTACCTTCTTTTTAATGATTCTGCCTACTGTTACTTAGAAAAACGCTCATTTAATTGCCACTTAATTGTTGAGAATTTGTAACGCTCAATTAATTGTCAAGAATTTGTAAAAATTTTACCCGTATGATGGCGGATTAAATGCAGCATATGGGAATGTTATTGAATTCAAATTTGGTTGATACCAGGCATTGAAAATTGCTGGTGACATGAGGAAATTTTTCCTGCAATGCCTCTAATCACTTTTGGATCGACATAATGTTCAACATCCAATAAAAATCCAGTACCAGACAATATATTTCGAAGCATTAATGCAATAAATCAAATGGTATTTCGAAGGCCATACTTTCTGTGACCGATTGTCTAAGATGCATATCCAGCTTAAATTTGGTCTAAACTTACCGCTCAGAAAATGGATGCTTAAAAGCTGATGCCAAAAGGTCCAACTTGAGGACCAAACTATAATCAGACTATTCAAATATTTCTTGAATAATCAAATTCTCAAGATTAAAAAGAAGCATTTATATCAAGAAATGGAGAGGACTGATAGTTACTTTGAAATAGTTAATTTGAGATTTATATTTCTGAATTAGCTTTCAGTACTATTGTTTGAGTTTACCGTCAGACCCTTTCGAAGAAGTTTTCGGTTTCCTTATTTTTGCGAAATTGAAGTTGAATTTTACACTCAAGTACATAAGCAATATAAATACACTTTGACTTGCATTAAAATATTTATGTGAAAACCGTAAAAGATTGCTCCAAGCAAAAATTAGATTTTAACTAAAAGCGATGTCAGTCGTCTTCTTTTTCGTCTTTCCTGTTGCCTAATTTGTGCACTTGAGCTTTTGCTAGTCATTTCCGATACATTTTGAAAGTTTACTGACTTGCTTACCTGTTCGGCTCTTTTTCCAGAATTCCAACATTTTCAGTTTGTTGGTACGCATATTGCAGAGCTTCTCGTATTTCCCACCAGTCGTCCATTTTCCGTATTAAATTGTAATGCTCGTGATATGCGTCCAAAGTTGATGTATCCGAGAAGTCAAACCAGTCCGGCCAGCCAACATTTTTGATTAGCTGCTTGGCTAAATTCAACTGTAACTGCTCGATTTTGAGCTTTTCGGTGAAGACACATGCACACGCACGCATAAACACACACAACACATCCTTTCATTGCGTGGATGCAAAAATGCATAAAAAATAAAGGCTTGCATTCACGCATCAAGTGTGAAGATAAACAGTGGTCTTTGGCAGTCAGTAAGAAGTTAGAGAGCAACTATTCAAAATTTAACTGGAAGGGTTGAGAAAAAATACGAGATCATTAATAAACATTTTTAAACATCTTTCAAAACTAGAAGAATAAGCAAAAAATAACTTTAGCAGGTTTCAGCACAAATGAATTTTAATATACAGGCATCAGCGGCGCCTAGAACTG